ACGAACCTACTCAAATGAATATCTTCGAGTCTTGTTTCTAACGGTTCAAACCATTCGTCATTTGGATATTTCTACAATGAGTTATGGACATTTTAGTAAAAGGTGTCCATCAAGGGAAAACTTGTAATACGAGGTACAACTTGCACAACACAAGGTACAACTCGCTGAAGCACCTGTGCCTATATAAGGCAGTCACGGGCAACAACCATTTTTGGGAGTTTTCTTGAGCTAGGGATTGGTTCTTTCATGGTCGACCTTGGGGATTACTTGAGAATACAAGGTGACTTTTTTGGATATTTTAAGTTAATAACATCCTATTAAAACTAGTATTAACATCATTCAATCTTTGAAATCCCTAGAAATCTTCCAAGTTGTTCAAGAACACCAAATTTCCCAAACATTGAATTTTTAAGGAAAAGCTTCAAGAAGGTAATACTAATACTTCAAGCTCATTTCTTATGAGTCGGTGAGAGTAATTCTAATATTTATTTCAAGTTGTTATGGTCGGATAATTAATTTCATAAACCCTAGTTCATGGCATGAATAGTGTTCTTGAGAAAATGAGGGAAAGATAAATAGTGTTCTTAGAATGAAATTAAAGGATGCAATGAACCTATGGAATCACTTTCTAGCTTAGTTGAAAGTGTTCAACTAAATAATCACCAAATTGAATGTTTTGGAAATGTTGGTTAAGGAAGACGATGAATAGTTATTTGGCGGTGTTGGAGAATTAATGAGTATCATTGATGACTTCAAATGAGTATTAAATGATAAGAGTGGAGTTGAATGTGCTAGTAAGTTAACCTATTAGACGATTTGAGCTGGAGGCTTGTAGCCAACTTGTGAGCCATAAATGGATATTGATAAATGCTTTTGAGTCATATTTTAATTGTAATTGGGATTGTAATTGTAGATATCAATTTGTTGGTGGCGTATGAGCATTTTACTCAATGTTACGATGTTGGAGCGGGATTAAAAGTTTGTGAATGTTAATAAAGCAAAAGCGAGTTTTGGAGCGTTGTGCATCGGTCGAGTTGTTTAAAAGGCTTGGGAGCCGGCTATTTAACTTCGAAGCGAGGTATGTCTCTTTTCTAAACCTTGAGGGAATTAACCCCATAGGTGGACCAAATTAATATGTGCCTCTATTTGTGGGGGCTACGTACACACGAGGTGACGAGAGTCCGTACGTAACTACTAGCTATGCCTATGTCCAGTTAGTTTCAGGTTTATACCATGCCTTGTTGATATTGTTGTTGATTTGTTTTTATTGTTTACCTTGAGAAGAAGCGAGATTGAGTTTGCTTAGTAAATGTCTTGAAAAGAGTTGAAATTGAGGAATTTGAGATCTTAAAAGTTTTCGTTTGAACTTCGTATTTTTGAAAAGAATTGAAGGAATATTATAATAGCTTAAGAAATCTATGTGTAGCCGCGTCATATGTATATTTCGCGAGCGGGGTAATTTCCTTAAAAAGCTACAAGCTGAATTTTCCTTATTTTAAAAATAATCAAGAAAGAGATATGATTTTAATGTTAAATTTATATTTGAACGCGCCGCAAGTATGATCCGCGAGTGGGGTGATTCCTTAAATTTATATTTTACCGCGTTGCACGTATGATTCGCGAGCGGGGTATTTCCTTCTACTACTCTTATGGGATCGGGCTGTTCGCCTCGGCAGGATTTATGTACCACACTCTCATGGGAGCGGGCCGTTCGCCTCGGCGGGTTAATAGATGCATCTATGGTTCGCGCCGTTCCACCCTCGGCAGTGCACAATTTACTTTTATGTTGGATCGGACCATACACCTTGACATTTCCTATATATATTATCCTCATGGAATCGTGCGTAATATTTGGCATGAAGCTAGTGTATCCGAGGTTTTTCCCTGATTTGAATTATGACAACCTCTTTGGTGAAATCTACTATCTCTCTATATATATAAGCTCCGGTTACGGAGAAAACTTGCTGGTTGAGAGCTTGACTAAAATTGTAAAGAGGAGAATTATACCACGTATTATATACATGTTTATTTCATACATTTACTCGGTTTCATATTTATTAACTTCTGTACTGTACTTGATATTGTTGGACCACCAGTAAGTGTCGAAGTCGACCCCTCGTCACTACTTCTTCGAGGTTAGACTGGATACTTACTGGGTGCGCGTTATTTTCGTACTCATACTACACTTGCTGTACATTTTGTTGTACATGCATATATACATTTAGTGGCCTTGTGGACGCATCGGCGTGGTTGACACGGGGACTTAGACGAGTTGCATCTTATGTGCGATCCGCAGCCAGCAGAGTCTCCTTCAGAGTATTGTATTTCCCTTTCTATCCAAATTGTATTCCGTACAGTTATTGTATTTTATTTTAATCCTTAGTAAATGCTCATGCACTTGTGACACCGGGCTTTGGGATGATTATGGGTTATTCAGTATTGAAATTGTTAAGAACATTATTATTTATTCTGTAAAGTCCATCTTTTACTATTAAATTGAAGAAAAATCATGATTTCAAAAATACTAAAACGAGAACTAAATTGATTATTTAGTGTTGGCTTGCCTGACAGTGGTGTCCGGCGCCATCACGACCTTTAATGGAATTTGGGTCCTGACACTGCTAATAATAAATATATCAATATTAAGAGTATAAGTACATTTAATGGCTAGAGAGTCTATTTTATTAAGTCAGTATAAAATACTTATCTCTACTTGGTCCGTTCAATACATACAAAATGTACTAGCACAAGAAGTTGAAATTAAACCATTCCCATAATCAAGATAAATTATATTTAATCTTGTGCTACAATCATCCTTGATGATTTGTCCAATACCATCATTAGATTGTGAACTCAAACTTTATACTTTAAGAACCGATGAATTAATCTTCCGTGTATAAGCTAAACTCTATACACTAAATCATCTACTATATAAGCAAAGGACACAGACTAATATATGATATATTTAAAACTTTATTAAAATTGAATGAACAATTATTCCATATTAAATACTATATCTTAACCAAACCCATGGTTAATAGTATATATTCCAACAATCTCTCACTCAGACTTTTAACCATGACAATTATTAGAATATACTATATCCAAATGCATGGTTAATAGTATAGAGAAAATACATAAGTTGCCCATCAAACTTGTTCGAAAAAATCATTTACACACCATAACTTCACGGGCGACCTATGTTCCCCCTATTCTTGTTTGGGGTGAATTTCATACCCCATTGGTAACACATAGTCAGTCTTGTAGTGGGATGTGTAGTACACACGCGCCACGTGTCAAAAGCTGCTTTATTTTTTTTTCCACTTATTTCGTTACTTTTTTTTTTGAACTCTTTTTTTTCCGTGTCATCTTCATCACCACCTACACCACCATGGAAGATCCAACACTTTCTACTTTAAAAAGTAGGGGAAAATTCCTCGTCGAAAAACTGAAGCCGGCAAATCCCAAACTTTTCATCCAGTTAAATCCCTCAAGCTTCGGCAAAATTTATGTCCAAACAGAAAAGCACTTTCAAATTTCAATAAATTGTAACTTATCGATGGCTTCAAAGCGAGCTATTGATCCTTGGGCCATTCTATGCTCTTCCCTCTTTCAATAGAACCTTTGGTGGAAAATATTTTACAAAAATCTCAAGCTCTTAATTTGAAGCTAGGTAAACTAATCTGTGTCATCTGGAACTCAACTCAAATAAAGTGAAATACAAGAATCATGGTGCAAGCAAACATTTAAAAGTTAGCTAATGATTTCAACATCTGCACTATTACTCCTTTAAGAAAAAAACCACAACAATATTTTAAAGAGGCGAGATTACACTATTTATTCACTTTTTTTCAACGAAATATCACAAGAAATAAATCAGAAACACAAGATTTTTACTCGGGTAAAGAAAAAGTAGAAGAGAAAAGAAGAAAAAAGAAAAAAAGTAGAAGAGATGGAAGAAGAAAAGGTAGAGAGAAAACAAAAAGAAAAAAAAAATAAGAAAAGAAGACGTAAAAGAAAAGGGGATGCGGACAGTAAAAATATATGTCTATTTTTAATCCTTTCCCTCTTACACGCGAGTTTGGGAGAGTGAAACTACTGCCTTTGCCACGTCACCATTTAGGGTGGTAGTAAATTCACCTCAAACAAAAATAATGGGGACATAGGTCGCCCGTAAAGTTAAGGTGTGTAAATGATATTTCCGGACAAGTTTAATGGGTAACTTATGGGTAAATTCACTAAGATATTATTTTGAGCCTTAGAAATATTAACCTTTGGAAATGCTTACGTAGCCTAATTAGTAAGAGGATTAGTTGAATTCAGTATCCATATGTGCTTGCTGACCTTTGACTTGACAGCTACCGGTAAATTGGTGGTCCCCCAAAGATTCACTAGTAAATTAAATTGGTGGTACAAAATAGATGCAACATGAATAAATATAATTATTTAATTGTTTCAAATGACAAAGATTGGTCAGTGGTAGCCAAACTGTATAGTCCCAGTACTCTAGATATGATATATATTCCAAAAAGGAAGGAAGGACGAAAGAGAGCAGAAAGTAGAAAGTAGAAAGAGTAACAAGTTGCCGCATCCGCAGAATCCACACGAGTTATACACACTTTAGACTAACTAGAATTTCAGTTGTCCCATAAAACAGCTGCCAGCTGCGCTAATTAATTAGACAATTTTTAATACCAGCCTGTCTCCTTATCACCCTTCAACTCCGTGTCGCGTCATCAAACCTTTTTGGCTTCAATGCTCTTCACTTACTTCCACTATATATAGAGTAGCCACTTTTCACATTGACTACGAAAAGCAAAAACCTTCAACTGAAACAACATCCTATACAACTATACACTTCTTACTCTTTTCAATCAGTGATCAAGAATAATGGATATCTTTAGAAGCTATTATTCGGACCCACTTGCTGAATATTCATCAATTTCTGATACCAGGCGCAGCTCCTGTATGAGAGCTAATCTTTCTGATGAGGAAGTTATGTTAGCTTCAAATAATCCCAAGAAGCGAGCAGGGAGAAAGAAGTTTCGCGAGACACGTCATCCAGTATACAGGGGAGTGAGGAAGAGGAATTCAGGCAAGTGGGTTTGTGAAGTCAGAGAGCCAAACAAGAAATCAAGAATATGGCTGGGCACTTTCCCTTGTGCAGAAATGGCGGCTAGAGCTCATGACGTGGCGGCTATTGCATTAAGGGGACGTTCTGCTTGCTTGAACTTTGCTGACTCTGCTTGGAGGTTACCTATCCCTGCTTCCTCCGACGCCAAGGATATTCAGAAGGCGGCGGCTGAGGCAGCCGAGGCTTTCCGATCGTCTGAGGCTGAAAATATGCCGGAGTACTCAGGAGAAAATTCAAAGGAAACGCCAGAAAATATGTTTTATATGGATGAGGAGGCGCTATTCTGCATGCCGGGATTACTTGCGAATATGGCAGAAGGACTAATGTTACCTCCACCTCAGTGTTCCCAAATTGGAGATCATATGGAATTAGCTGATGTTGACATGCCTTTGTGGAGTTATTCTATTTAAATATAACTCTGGTTCTCACTTACTACTTCTTTCGGTGATATTCCCTATAAGTACACAGTTACTTCAATTAAGATTTCGGAGATTTTTGTAAGTTTCGTACTCATGAATATTTGGATGGTACGGATGTACATAGGCGTTGTGAATTAGTATGATGTAGATAGTAGTACTCCTATGTTCTAGTTGTAGTTCTGGCTAAATGCAAAACATTGGCCTAGGCAGAAAAAAACAATATTAGCTTTGTGAATTTCAAGCCATCATATTTGAATGAAATAAGTGCGAGCAAGTTAACTTAGCAGTGTAGCAGCTATTTCATCTGTCTCAGAGCGCTCAATAGTGTTTGCCTTACACGATTTAGAATTAGTTAACTTAGACTAATATTCTAGGATGTGAACCTTTTTCCATTTTCATATCAACAAAGTACAACTTCTAGTTTTTTTTTTTTTTTAAATATCTAAAATTTAATTTATTAACTCAATCTAGGCGAATATTATGCAACATATTGAAGTTAATTTGTTGCTCACATTTTTGTTATAGAAAATCGAGTTGACGATTTTTAGTGTGCATGTTGAGTAAGCGCACAGATAATTCTTATGGAAATTAAGCCGTTTGAAGGACTAACAATAAAAAAAATCTTTGTTTGGAGTTCATGTAGGCCTACACAACTACCAAATAGTTGGAGCTATATTGGCAAGACTTAACCATTAAGTGAAAAGTGATAAAACAACGAAACCTATGAATGCAAAAAAAAAAAAAAAAAAAAAAAAAAAAATGTAGGATCATAAAATTAAAAACAAATTTGTAAAAAGCCAAAAAATAATTGACCCGAAAATTTGAAAGGGGGACCACAATACAAGATCCTGAAGCTGGAAATGTTGCACGTGGTCCACGCGTTTCAGTCGGCGCAAAGTTTGACTTTTGTTTGTTTCTTGCAATGGGCAAGCAGTTACAAATGATATTAACTGTCAAAACCGTGTGTTTGTACGAGTGAGTGTAGTATCAGTTAGACAAAATACCAATTTGAAAGCTCAGTTTTTTAACATTTGAAATCTCCATAAGACAAGGGGTGGCGGTTGGGGCGGCTAAGATGTTCCAAGAATCTGAATGTCTATAGCCTTTTATTATAGCTTCCCATCGTCCTCCTTTCTTTGGACCTTCAGATTCTCCGAACATCTTAATCTTTTCTTCTATTATTACAATGCAATTTATATCTCTTATTTTTCTATAAACTTAGCTTAGATTTTTGTTATACCAATATTATCGTATTCAAGTACTAGTTTATACTCGATTTATATCACATCAAGCAGCTTGATTTGAACAACGACATGTATGATGACACGCAAGAGCCCAATAGACATGGTGTTCATATCTAGAGAATCGAACACGCACCGCTTATGAATTGCCTAAAACTCTACAGAGTTACTCCCTCTGTTTCAATTTATGTATTTATTAATTCATTTAAAAAATAATATGTATATTTTTATATTTGAAAATAATTTAACTTTAAATTTTTTATTGTATTCATTTATCCTTAATGAAAATCTTTTAGACCACACAAATTGAAAAGCCCACAAAAGTTTTTACTCACAATGCTTTTAAAATCACAAGTTTCAAAAATCTTTGTGTTTATCCTTATGTCAAACTATGTCACATAACTGATGCGGAAGGAGTGTTTGTTAAGATGTACGTAGGTGTATGGGTCGAAATCTGATCAAGGGGGATTCCGCACGAAAAGGGGCGACAGAAGGATCAAGAAAGCAAAAGGAGTATTTGAGAGGCTCTACGGCGGCGAATACCTCGGCCACGACCGCGGCCGAGGTCGTGCACTCGGAAGGCCTGTACGGCGAAGTAAATGATACGGCGCTTCATAGGGTTAATCTAAAATATGGTCGAAAGACTGAGGTACCCTGGTGAAGAACTGTTGGGTAAATGAAAATACCTGGTATAAATACTAGATGGGAGAATCGGAAAGGGGGTTCAAAAATTTCAGAATTCATCATTTATAGCAAGGAGAAACCTAAAACCTACGGAAAAAACGGGGGGAGCCCAGAACCATACGTTCATTCGTAATCATTATCGTTACATAGACGAAGAGAAGTTTTATTTACGAATCAGTGAACTCCTCTCTTTTATTCCTTTACTTTACTTTATATTATGAATTGATGTCGTTCAATATGTGACTCCATTGTATACCAAAGGTGTCAAATGTGCTCATAATCGATCCTGGAGTCCAACCATTCGGTTCCTTTTGCTTATCATTTTCTGATCTAGAGTTAATTATTTTTGGCTAGAATTTATCCTTCTTCTTATTATTTATATTAGTTTACCAAAAGATGTGAAAAATATTTTGGTCGAACAATTTGGCACCGTCTGTGGGGATTTTCTAGCCAAAGCCTTAGTTCCCTCTAGATCCAAACATGGTCTTAGCTCTATCCCCCATTCGGTGAAGTTTGACCCTTTCATTACGAATGTCGACTTGCGAAACCGGTCGGTAAATCCCCGAAACCGCCTAACCAACCAAGGATAAATCCTTACGCGAAACTGGAGTTATGCCTGGTTTACACACGAAAACTGTGTTGCGCCACAGCAGCAGCCCTGATGCATTGTGAACATGAGCCGTCATAGTGGGAATACGACTACGCATACCAAACGCGTCCGTAATCCCATTTCCAGGTTAGTACCCAACACCTCCTACATCATGCGCATATCGCCTTCCCTCTTACTATATGAGACGATGCTTGTTGTGTGATTTACTGACTAAAATACTCCTCGTCTGTATGCTTGTAGTATGACTTACATTTCTGCCATCTTTGCGCGCCCGAGATTGAGACGAACTGGGACTCGAACTCGGGACCCTAATGGGGGGAGTGGATCCTCCACCCACGAGATGCGAAAGCTCAACCTATGACGAGGCTGAGCGCTAAGCCGAAGCCGATATCAGGCCGAAAACTAGTACTAGAATACAGAACAAGGCGAGCCGTCCTGTAGCGCGATCCCTAGTTCATTGCCGAATGAGGGAACTTCCCACTTCCAAAGAGCGTAGCCGTCGAGGGAAACATGGCCAATCCCCCTCATTCATCAGCTAAATAGTCGACCAAGGTAACAGATAATTCCATATACTTCTAACCCACTATTCCTTCTTAGAAAAAGAGAGAGAGAGAGAGAGAGAGAGAGAGAGAGAGAGAGAGAGAGAGAGGTGAAACAGAGAACATGGATGTCCTCCCAAATACGCGAACAAAGTCTAGCCGACAAACAGGCTCTAAGTTCCTCCCTACGACAAACGGCAAATCGGGAAAACACCCCAACTCTGCCATACTACGAATAACAGACAAACAGCTCAGAACAAGCCGGCATCATTAAGAAACAATATCCATAGCCTGGGATTGGGCGGTGAGCCCATGAAACGTACATCCTCCTCAACACAGGTAGAACATGAACATGAAAAGCTTGCCCGTATGCTCGCCATGGAGATGCTATGCCAATTCTGCCGACTAAATACTACGAGTCACGTCCGAACTTCGTTCGAATTAATCGAGCCCCAGGGTGCCTAGAAGCCTAAGAAATAAGTTCATCGCCCGTCCCGTCAGCGGTCTCCCCAGGGCGAGCAATGAAGGGACTAGATAGATTGGGACTCACCCCAACGCATACATAAACTATGTAGCAACACATGATATTCTCCAATGAAAGCAAGATCAGATAAACTGGGACTCGCCCCGACGCATGCATAAACGATGCATCAACGAGTAATATTCTCCAATAAAAGCAAGGTAGCATTCAACATTCTTACCACTTCACCGAGCCCGCACATCGCCAAGCAAAAGTAAAATTCGACCAAAACAGCTCCTAAACACTCCTAAATTATATCCAAGAGTCCTTGATGGTAGGCTAGAAACTCATGTTTTAGCCGCGCTTTGCACTCTAATTATTGCACTTTACATGGGTTTGAGCTTAAATGATAGTGAATTGCACTTATTACGTATTTTATGCCTAGCAGGAAGTGATTCTGAGTTAAAAATATAATCGGGAGCTAAATCGAATAATTTGGAGCTTTGAAGTCTGAGTAAAAGCCCATAGAATTAAATTGGGATAGCATTAGGGGGTCGAGGACCGAGTCTGGATATCAAAAAATGAAGAACATAATTTAGTATGTAATTTACACAATCACGCTGTGTGGGGCGGCGCATAGGGAAGCGCGGTAGTGTATTTTGCTGTTGTCCGTCAGAAATCGCTCTCTGAACTTCTACCTGGCACACCGTGTAGGGCGCTGCGCCTGTGCAATTTTGACTGAGTATTTTCCTGTTTCGGTTTGGAAAGGGTAGTTTCGTCCAGGCCCGCTCCTACATGGTATATATACACAAAAAACATTTTTTAAGGGACTTTTGACCTCGGGAGCTTTTGGAGAGCGTTGGAGGCTTTAATACACAAGATTTTATCATCTTTTCATCAATTTAATACAGAAGTTTTGATTGTAACATTGGTTTGATGTTTTCTTACTCTTTAACTCTATTTGTGATAATACTCTCCATGATTATGGAGTAGTTTCCCTTATGGTTTGACATGATTTCATGACTTGATTGTTATATGGATTTGATTATTGTTTGATAGTTGGAATTTATTGGAAGAACTTTAATTTTAGTTGTGATTTTATTCATTATCGTGTTTAATTGAAAGAGGAGCATAATATTGAATATTGTTGCAACACAAGCCTTAATTTATTTTGGTACTTCTTTAAAGTAATCGAAAGAGCTTTGTGATCTACCCTATTGAATTAAGATTGAGAAATATTCGAGAGAAGTTTCTCTAGACCATTCTTACTAATAGATTCTTGCAAGTCTCATCGCATTTTGTATTAGGTTATTTGTACGGTATAGGTTTAATCGAGAGAGGAAACTGAGTCAGAATAATAGGATAATAACATGTTGAATTCGAGAGAATCAATAGAACATTAATAGTGAATTTAAACAGTGTCAATTCCAGGATAACAATCTTGCACTTATCATGGCATGACCCTTATTTCTCACATTGATAACAACCTAATTCTGCTAGTCTCTTATTGTTCGCCATCAATTGTCAATTATTTTACTTTTAGTAGTTAATTGTAGTTCATAGTCATCCCAAATCAAAGTGTTGAACATCCTGAATAACATTTAATCCAGAAATTACTTGAACATTTTTTAAATCAATCCCCGTGGAGACGATATTTTACTATACTATATTTGACTAGCGAGCTTCAGTTTTGTGTTGTGTTCAGTGCTTGTCAGCCCCCCTCCCCCCATGATCCTAGAGTGAATCCAA